TCACGTAAAACGGGTGAAACACCAATGATCGCACGAGGTAGATAATTTATCTAACAATAATCAATTTAAAACAACCACAATATAGAAAATTCTCATAAAATCCCATTAAAAAAATTGACATGTGAAATTATTTCGGTTTTCATATTGTCAAATATAATTAAGACACATATATGCTTCCAAACTATACGACGTAAACTTGTTATACAGCGAGCTGAAATTCTCTTTACTGTGAGTGATTATAATCATCGCTTTCATAGTACTGCTCTGCTCGTAGGATGATTGTAAACATCATAGTACTTCAGAACTATTCCGAGGAATTTTCTATTGATCGGCAAACCCTCGCGACTCAAAATACGATACGAATAACAGCATACTGTAGTTTCACAACCCGTTTTACGTGAAGTGGCGTAAAACTCCATGTGAAAAACGCGATATTCGCGACACGAAGGGAAGTGAGTACACTTGAACTCAGTTCAACTAAGTTAGTAAAATCATAAAATCATTGATTTTATGAATATGAAATTCTATTTATTATCGCTTAAAGTTAACACATACCACACTCTACTGAACTCACTCACATCTGGCTGTTGAGTTCCTGTATGCGTTCCACTATGCATAACCGCGCCCTCGAGAAACTTAATCAACACTCTCACCGGTGTCGAGCCGGCCATGGCAAATTTGCATTGCTTCAATGGTGGTGCCTATCGACACATTATAATGATCTTCACGACTAACAATATGCGTTTCATTTCCTCAGCTGGTGCCAGGAATTTTCTCACCCATTGTAGGAGTTTCACCCGTTTTACGTGAAGTGGTGTAATACTCCGTGAAGAAATACTGTAGTCGTGAAATATATTTCTCACTAGCGTTTTTTGTATCGCAGGTGAAACTCCATTGTAGGAGTTTACGTACGAGCTAGGGTAGAAGTGTATAGAAATAAACAAGAATTTTCCACAATTTTCTCACAATTTTTACATGTTCTCACCAACACATGTAGTTGACCATGTGCATATTTTTTCACACATGTACAGAAATCAACAACAATTTTCCATATTTTCCAGAATTTTCATGTTCTCACCAACACATGTAGTTGTTCATGTGCATATTTTCCCACACGACTAACAGCCTCACATTTCCTATCGGGTACAGCTGCACCGTCACTTTGAAATCTCTGAGCTTTTCAAAAGGATCAGCCACTTCAATCGACTGTGTCTTGGTATCGTTACTCATTATAAAAGCTGTTGGTAGATGCCGCTGCTACACCGACGCTCGCCCGTAGCACACAATGATTCTGGAAGCGCTTCCGAGATCGATTTTCAACTTTCAAAGTCGTGTTTATTGAACACGACTTCAGGAACGATTCCGAAAATCGATTCCAGCATCGCACAAAGCCTTGTCTATTGAACGGGCGGTGTCCCTATCGGGAGAAGCAATCTCTGAGCTAAGCTTATGATGAAGATAGTCTGCATCGATCAAGTATAATCAGACCTTGTAAGGCACTGTCCTGCGATAATATCCAGTGTAGTGTTATCTCAATGGGCAAATCACCAACATACGCGAGTTGCGAGCGACAATACAATCGTTGGTGTCTACAACGACATTTTTCTTCTATGCAATAGAGTTTCACCTGTTACGTAAAACTCTGTGAAAAACGCGATACTCGCGGTGATATGCAGTAGTCGTGAAATATATGCTTTTCAGTAGTGTTTTTCATATCACTAGGGTGAAATTCCAATGTTTGCAAATGTGAAGAATGTGTATTTTTATTCCGGGATTAATGATAGTGAACAACTTGTCGCTATGATAGTCTCGAAAGGTTACTTTTATCACATCACATGTTCATAACAATGTTTATGCGATATAGTTTCAGATCGATTCTTATTAATCTCGGAAAATAACACACGTTTGCATCATATCAAATTCACACGCACTGTATAGACTTTCTCTCAGCGTCCCAATGCATCAAACATTCTCTCACCAACAGTGTCGAAATATATATTCGCTTCCCTCAGCTGAGATCAGGAGTTTCCGAAGCTACGGTATACAAATCCGGGTAAAAATGTAGAGCAGTTAATAATAATTTCCCCAAAATTGCCTCACAATTTTCCTATTGTCACCAACATATGTGTTTAACAGCGCTTCAACTCAACACTCAAAAGCCTATGATAAAATACGTGTAAAATGATGCAATAATAACAGGAACTTCTTGCCGAGAGGCTCATCAAAAGGATAACAATTGTAGGAGACATTTCGAGCCATTCACTCACAGCAACATGCTCAAGTGGACGAGTAAAATACAGTAGAGTTTCACAACCCCTTTTACGCGAAGCGGCGTAAAACTGTATGAAAAACGCAATATTCGCGGTGATATTCGCAGTAGTCGTGAAATCTATGCTTTTCACTAGTGTTTTCATATCATAGGTAAAACTCCAGTATATAATACAAAAACGATAATCACAGCAACAACTCGTCAAAACAACGGTATTGAACAGATCCAAATGTAGTAGAGAAAAACCATAAACAGTTTCAAAGAGACACTTTCTTTTTTAACGGAGTGGACACTATCGTTGAAGCTGATGCCTGATAACAAAAAACCACTCAAGAGCAGTGTTGGGAGAATATACGTTTGCTTTCCTCAGCTGAGCTTGGGAGTTCCTCATTAAAAAGGAGCTTATATACGAGATCGGGTAGAAATGTACAGAAACCAGTAGTAGCTTCCCA